CCACAGGTAGATCAGGGGGTTTGTCACGCTGATCCCGGTGCCGGGAGGCCTTGCGGATCTGCTGATCCCCATGCTGGGAGGCATATTACCCTTTTACTATATAGGATAGAGGCCTGGTGCATGGGTGGGGGCCGGCTGGTTTGCCCTGAAGGGTGTCCTGGATCAGGGTGCGGGTCCCCACTGGGGTGCCTGGCCAGCCTGGGTGAGGGGATGATGGCTGTTTGCAAGCTGGTCACACACCCTTCAGGGTGGGGGTCCCCACTGGGGTGCCTGGCCAGTCTGGGTGAGGGGCTGAGGGCTGTTTTCAGGCTGGCAGGTGAATGAAGCTCCCAACTGCTCCTTTTTTTCTTTTTTTTTTTTCTTTTTTTTTTATTTTTATTCTGGACCAGCTTTAGCTCTGGCTCCAGCTCTGAGGCCTCTGCTGCTGAAATCAGGTATCTGGTTTGTTTGGGTTCTATAATTGAAACACTGTATCAACTCCAGCTCTGAGATCCAGGCTGGCTGAAAGCAGGTTTCTGTGGTTTTCTTTAGCTTCTATATTTGTAACAGTGTTTCAAACTGCAAGCTCAGAGACTGGCAAGGCAGGCGGGGAATGTTGGAGTCCTCCTTCACTGAAGCAAGCAAGCCTCATGTTAGCTTCGAGCTGCCTGGCTGCCGGCCGCCATCTTGGCTGGCAGTTAATTTGCATATCGCCCTGATTAGCCAATGGGAAGGGTAGCGGACATACGGCTAATTACCATGTTTCTCTTTTATTAGATAGGACTAGAGGCCTGGTGCACAAAAATTTGTGCACTGGCGGGGGGTGGGGGTGCCCCTCAGCCCCACTGTGCCCTCTCACAGTCTGGGACCCCTCAGGAGATAACGGCCTGCTGGCTTAGGCCTGCTGCCGGCTGGCAGAGGGCAGGCCCAATCCCTAGGTGCAGCCCCTAGTCAGGCTCAGAGCAGGGCCGATTGGGGATTTGGGGCGCTGCCCCCTGTCATGCACAGAGCAGGGCGGATTGGGAGGTTGTGATGCCACCCCCAGTCATGCTCAGGTTAGGGCCGATTGGGGGGTTGGGGTGCCACCCCCTGTGACACTCAAGGCAGGGTTGATGGGGAGGTTGTGGCGCCACCCCGTCACGCACAGAGCAGGGCCGATCAGGGGGTTGGGGTGCTTCCCTCTGTCACGCACAGAGCAGGGCCCATCAGGGGGGTTGGGGCTCTGTACCCTGTCAAACACAGAGCAGGGCCAATGAGGAGGTTGGGGTGCTGCCCCCTGTCATGCACAGAGCAGGGGGGTTGGGGCTCTGTACCCTATCACACACAGAGCAGGGCCAATCAGGGGGTTGGGGAGCTACCCCTGTCACGCACAGAGCAGGGCCGATCAGGGGGTTGGGGAGCTCCCCTGTGTCATGCACAGAGTAGGGCCAATAGGGGAGTTGGGGCACCGCCCCCCGTCACCCACAGAGCAGGGCCAATCAGGGGGTTGGGGCACTCCCCCATCACACTTGGGGCAGGGCCGATGGGGAGGTTGTAGCTCCACCCCGCCACACACAGAGCAGGGCCCATGTGTGGGTTGGGGCGCCACACCCTGTCACACACAGCGCAAGGGCCGATCAGGGGGTTGGGGAGCTCCCCCCTATCAGGCACAGAGCAGGGCCCATCAGGGGGTTGGGGTGCCTTCTCCTGTCACGAACAGAGCAGGGAGGATAGGGAGGTTGTGTCCGCGCCCCAACTCCCCAATCGGCCCTACTCTGTGAGTGACAGGGGGGAGCTCCTCAACTCCCTGATCAGCCCTGCTCTGTGCGTGACAGGGTACGGAGCCCCAACCCCCCTGATGGGCCCTGCTCTGTGCGTGACTGGGGGTGGCGCCCCAACTCCCCAATTGGCCCTGCTTTGAGCCTGACCAGGGGCTGCACCTAGGGATTGGGCCTGCTCTCTGCCACCCGGGAGCAGGCCTAAGCTAGCAGGTCGTTTTCTCCTGAGGGGTCCTAGACTGCGAGAGGGCACAGACGGGGTTGAAGGACACTCCCCCTTCCCCCCCGAGTGCACAAATTTTTGTGCACCAGGCCTCTAGTCCTATATAATAAAAGAGAAAATGCAAACTGACCATCCCTCTGCCAAACCCACCAGCCAATCAGGAGTGAGTATGCAAATTAACCAAAGATGGTGGGTTAATTTGTATATGCAGGCTCAAAGTGGCCTGGGCTCTGGCAACATCCTCGGGACCCAGGCCACTCTGAGCCTGTAGGCCTGCGTGTAGTCCCTGAGTGGCCGGGGTCCCAGAATGCCCTGGCCAGGAGTGGCCTACAGGCACCAGCGCCAAGCGGCCCAGGTCCCAGGACAAGCGGCGGGGGCGCCAAGCACAAGCGGCCACGGGGTGGGGCGGGAACTTCTGCTGCAAGTTCCCACCCCATGGCTGCTTGAGAGTGCCCCTGCGCCAAGCGGCCCAGGTCCCGGGACACAAAGCGGGCTGGGTTCTGGGACAAGTAGCCAGGGGCACCAAGCAGGCTGGGTCCCGGGACAAGAGGCTGGGGGCACCAAGCAAAAGTGGCAGCGGGGTGGGGCGGGGCGGGAACTTCTGCCCTAAGTTCCCACCCCACAGCCACTTGCGTGTGCACCCATGCCAAGTGGCCCGGGTCCCGGGACACCAAGTGGGCTGGGTCCCAGGATAAGCAGCCGGGGGCACCAAGCGGACTGCGTCCCGAGACAAGTGGCTGGGGGCACCAAGTGGGCTGGGTCCTGGGACAAGCGGCTGGGGTGCCAACTGGCCTGGGTCCACGCCCCCCAGCCCAGTGCACACAGCGAACATGGGGCCGCCGGGCTTGGGGGTGTGTCCCCAGCAGCTGCCAAGGTGCAGCGTCAGCGGGATCCACGTCCCCCAACCCATGAGCACAAGGATAGGTTCCCGCTCCATGGCCACTTGCGCGTGTGGCCACACCAAGCGGCCCGGGTCCCCGCCCCCCAGCCTGGTAGATAAAGCGAACGTGGGACAGCCGGGCTTGGGGTGTGCCCCGGTGGCCGCTGTGTGCTGTGTCCATGGGATCCATGTCCCCCATCCCACAGACACAGTGATTGTGGGGCCGCCAGGCTTGGGGGGCGGGGGGGCAGGCACGCCCTTACCCCAGTGGACACAATGCAAGGGATCCTCTGCAGCCCATGACACCTTTTCTTTTCTTTTTTAAAAAAACATATTTTATTGGTTTTTTACAAAGAAGAGGGGAGAGGGATAGACTGTCGGAAACATCGATGAGAGAGAAACAATGATTAGCTGCCTCCTGCACACTCCCCACTGGGGATGTGCCCCCAACCAAGGTACATGCCCTTAACAGGAATCAAACCTGGGACCCTTCAGTCTGCAGGCCGACGCTCTATCCACTGAGCCAAACCAGTTTGAGTGTAAACACCTTTTCTGACGGCGCACTGGCGAAGCTCCCTGTATGCCGCCACTTGCAGTGTTCTTGATAACCTGGGTTATATGAATCCAAGAAGGAGATCTAGGGTTTTTCCACCACACTCCTGGAGGAAAAAAACAAAGGTCTGCTGCTGGATTGGCTAAGAAATGTCATATCCTGCCCTAGCCGGTTTGTCTCAATTGATAGAGTCTTGGCCTGTCGACCGCAGGGTCCGGGTTCAATTCTGATCAAGGGCATGCACCTAGATTACAGGCTCCTCTCTGGCCAGGGCCCAGGTCAGGGCTTATGCAGGAGGCAACCAGTGTCCCTCTCACATTGATGTTTCTCTCTGTCTCTCCCTCTCTTCCACACTCTCTAAAAATCAATGGAAACATACCTCAGGTGAGGATAAAAAAAAGAAAGAAATGTCATATCCTATGAAAGACACATCTTGAAAATGTCTAAAGAAAGTTGTCATTTTTTCATGGTGGACTGGAGTCTGTGTTGATGAAATCACCTTGGCAGCTGCAGTGGATGGTAGTGTCTGCAGCAGCGGTGTGATGGGTCTGGCACCTTCCCCTGATCAGCCCGGTCACCTCCTGCAGAGGGAGGCCAGACTGTGGCTTAGGACATCAGTAGGACATCCCCTGAGGGCTCCCAGTCTGTAAGAGGTAGCAGGCTGCCCTAACCGGTTTGGCTCAGTGGATAGAGCGTCGGACTGCGGACTGAAGGGTCCCAGGTTCGATTCCGGCCGAGGGCATGTACCTTAGTTGTGGGTACATGCCCAGTGGGCAGTGTACAGGAGGCAGCTGATCGATGTTTCTAACTATCCCTCTCCCTTCCTCTCTATAAAACAATTAAAACATATATATTTTTTAAAAAAAAGAGGTGGCAGGCTGGGCTGAGGGAGCCCCCCCCCCAGTGCACAAATTTCGTGCACTGGGCCCCTAGTCCAGAGGTGGGCAAACTGCCGCTAACAAGCCACATGCTGCTCTTTAGCCCCTTGTGTGTGGCCACGAAGTTTCAATCGCACTGTGCGTGCACACCCGCACGTGGTATTTTGTGGAAGAGCCACACTCAAGGGGCCGAAGTTTGCCGACCACTGTCCTAGTCTAAGTATATAAAAGCCTAAGCGACAGTTGGACCAGTGCGATGATGCACAGTGACCACCAGGGGGCAGATGTTCAATGCACAGGCATGGAAACATGGAACAGGCTGATGAATCTCAGAGGGGGGCGGGAGTGAGGGGGGTGGGGGGGAGGTGGAGGGCGGGAAGAGATTCACCAAAGATCTTATATGCATACTAGAGGCGCCTGTGGGGTCCCTCCCCTGGACTGTGGGGCTCGGACATGCCCTGAGGGGTCCCAGATGGTGACAGGGTGCAGGCCAGGCCCAGGGACCCCACTGGTACACAAATCCATGCACCAGGCCTCAAGTTATATTTCAAATTCTTTTTCTTGAACTATTAATGTTTTCTGCATGTAACATTATTATATTTTAAATCGTTTTTCTTGAAAAAAGAAAGAAAAATGCAAAAGAAATAGAAAATGAAAATAAATAAAATAGAGCTTAGTAGAGCCTTTAAAACGAGCAATAGCATTCACGTGGCTGGAGTTACTCGAGCACCTGCAGTGATTCCGATGGGCGTGCACACAGGTGTGCAGACCTGCTGTCTGATGGATCCAGGAGCCGAGAGCAGCTCGGGGCGGCCCACGGGCTCGGGACACACTCCGGGCCCCACGAGGACGCCCCTGTTGCCACAGGCCTGGAGCTGAAGGCCGTCCCTGAGCGCGTCATGGCCGGTGTCCGTCCTGCCGCGGGGAGGGCTGCAGCGCCAAGTGCACAGTGACCTCCTGGGCCGCGTCCCGTGGACGCCCGACCGGCAGCGGGAGGTCGGGTCCGTGGCTCTCACTCCCCGTCGGGACTTTCTGTCTGAGCCGAACCCTGTGGCTGAGGAGGCTGCGGGTCCGACACCGCAGGCCTTGGGCCCGGGAAGCCCTGGAGCGGCGCCCTGAGCGGGGCCACACAGGGCAGGGCCGGCCCGGGTCCAGCGCCCTCTGCGGGGAGGCGGGGGCCTGGCCGGTGAGGGGGCGTCCTCCTCAGACACAAACCCCGACTAGGAAGGCGCCTCCCGGAGCCGCTGGTGCGGGCAGAGCGGGGGTCCGCCGCCCGGAGGACCCGGGGCCTGAGCGGGGCGGTCCTCAGCCCGCGCCCCAGGGCCCCGCGGCCGCCACTCGCCATCTTCCCCGCAGTTGAGTGATCCCCGGAGGGAGCACTTATCCCCGCGGGGCTGCCCTCCGAGGCCGCCTGCGCGGGGTCCTCCCCCCCGTACCCACGTCCGCCTCAGCCTCGCCCTGCCCCGCGACGCCAGCAGCAACTCAGGACAAACAGTCCTCCGTGCCTGGAGATGCTGAGGTCCACACTCGCACCGCTAACTTCCGGAAGGGGCGGGACTTCCGGGAGAGGCGGGACCTTCCTGCAGAGAGCACCGCGGTGCGAGCGGGGGCTGCGGCACAGAGAACTGCGCAGCCGCAACGTGTCTACGCTCCAGAGAGGTTGGAAATCGCTGCTCGCCCGGACGGTCAGGGGGCGCGTCCCGCCCTCTGCAGCCGCGACCCTGGAACTGAGGGCGCCTGTCCGCGGAGAGGAAGTGGAGCCGTCTTCCTGTTTCTCTTTTCTTCACTGTCAGTCCCCAAGGAGGGACGCATCCCGCGCTGCCCTCGCTGAGTGAGCTCTGCTGCTGAGGGACGAAGGGGCCCGGCTCCCGGGATTCCACCGGGAATGGAGCTGCCTGACTTCCGGCTGAGCCGCAGCTGCTGTGCCCGGCCCGGAAGGCAGGGCTGCTGGGAGCCTGAGAAAGAGGAGGCGCCAGGGGCCGGTGGGGCCATTTCTGTCTGTCTGTCTGTCATACTTGAATAAAGCGCGTATTGACACAAAGCAGTCATGCCCAGGCCCACAGAGAAGAGGGCACCCCTGTGACGTTGTGGGGCAGCGTCTGGATGCACGCGAGGACGTTTGGATCCGTCGCCTCTGCCCTTTGGGGCCCGGCCCGGTGTGGGAACATCGCCATTGAAGGGCGCCTTCCAGAGCGTGTGCTGGTGCCTCCCGTGGCAGGCACTGCTCACCCCGCCCAGCCCAGTGGGTGCTCCACCTGTTCACGTTTCCAGTGCCACACTGCCCCCTGCTGGCTGCGGCCCCGTGTTTGCAGGTCGGGTGAGAGGGTGGCCTCCGGGGGCAGTTTTTACGATGAATGAAAGGCACTGGCGTGTTCTGGACCAGGCAGGCTGTGACCCGCCTTCTAGACCGTGCGCATCAGTCTGTTCTCTGAATCCATGGGCCCCTTTGTGCTTTGTTTATTCTTTTGTTGTAAGAACACCGAACATCGGGTCTACTCTCGGAGCAAATTTTTAGTATGCAATGCAGCGCTGTAATAGACACTCTATTTCTCATTATGTCACAAATATGGCATTACTTAATTATTTCTTTATTTGCCTCTTGTCTGTGTTTATCATCGGAAGGTGGTGGATGCACTTTCTTTTGCTCACGAATGTACCCCAGGCATCTGGAATCGCGCCGGCACGCAGTCGGCGTTCAATCCGTAATTATGGGAGAGGAGAGTACCTGCACTTCAGTTTTCTTTTCTAAAAGCTGGAGACGTGGCCTCTAGCCTGGGCTTCCTGCCCGCTGGGGAGGCCTTCCTCAGGTTCCCACCGTCCACACTCACACCACATGGTCTCCAGCTGACCTGTACACCGCCCGGCCTCCAAGACAATGAGTAGGGCCCTGCCTGGCGCCCTGAGCGTCCCAGCGCCCCGCCCAGACAGGTGGTGGGAGGGGGGCAGGTGTTGCTGGGTTGATCCAGAGGATCAAAGCTGGGCTGGAAGGGCTTTGCGAGCCCGGAGCGCAGCACCCCCGCCAGTGCTGGTCGCCGTTACTGTGGTAGTTAATGTTATTTGTGTGGTTTGCAGAAAAGGCCCTGCAGCTGGGCTTCTATAAATATTAATCACCAGGCCATCTCTGCTCCTGCTCGGCCAGCTCCCTGCAGGAGCTGGAGTAGTTGGGGTCCGATGAGGCCCAATGGAAAATTCCCCTCGGGCCCGGCTCCAGATCGCTGGGGGCTGTCACTGTCCGGGAACTGCCCCTCCCCTGCTCTTCCTGAGCCCCTCCAGGCTCTGGCGGCTCCCAGAGGTGATGGGGAGTGGCATTCCGCCAGGCCTGGCTGCATGTGCCATCCCAGCTCCTCCTGTCTATAGATTCACCCACTGTGTGAAGGATGAGGCTGTGCCATGCCTGGGCTGGGCATCGTGGGGTCTGTGCCCCCTTGTGGGACAGGCAGGCTTGTCCAGAAGAGGGGAGCACACCCGCCCCACCCCCTCAAGCGGCTCCTGGTCCAGAGGGAAGAGCCGGTTGTCTGACAGGTTATTTAGAAATTTACAGGCCCAGTGTTGCGGGCCGACAGTCTGCCCCGGGACCTGCCTCACACCATTAACACACCCAGACTCATTGGCAGCAGCAGACAGAGTGGCCCTCAGCCTCTGTAAAGCCACAGGTTTACTATGAATGCCAGCAGGGAGGGTGTCGGGGGAGCAGGGGCTGCTTTTGGTATGGACTGGCCTCGCTGTCGCCTCTGAAAATGTAAACACAGCAGCACTGGACTGTGGCTGCCGCCTTATTCTCCGGCAGAGTTTTCCCTCTAGCTTTCTTCGTTCTTTCAAAACGATGCGCCTTCGTCTTGAGAAGGTGGGCTGTGGGTACCTCTGCTTTTCTGAGAGCTGCGTGCTGAGCAGGGGGACCTGGGGCTGTGAGCTCAAGCAGGGGTGAGGAGGGATGGGGTGGGGGGGTGGAGAGGGAGGGCAGCTGCCCAGCAGGTTTGAGAGGTGAAATCGGGAGTCACTGCTCAGCCTCCTGCTGCCTCCCTGCTCCAGGCACAGCGCATGGGCCATCTGATGGCAGCCCATCGCACCACGGCTCCCCACGGGCCTTCGGGACCCTTCGGGCTGTTCTAATCACTGCCTTGGCCTCCAGGTGCCAGCCTGGCTTTCTGCCCCCTCCCCCCTGCCAGTCCAAGGCTGGGGGGTGGGGGGCACATCTGCAGTCCAAGGCTCCTTGGTAATAACACCTTTGACCCTTGGCCCATGAATCTCGGGACTGGCACACCCCTCCTGCCCTGCCCCAGAGGCAGGCCCCTCCTCCCATTTAGGATGTCTCTGAGCTGGGACCCAGAGCTTTGGGTCCAAGCTCCATTAGCTGCTCCTGCCTATGCCCCTGATCAGGCAACCCTCGGCCCCCTCGCTCCTGCTTCAGTGGGTCCTGTCCCCATGGCCGGCCTCCTTTGGGGCCTGGTGTGGGTTCTTCGGAAGGGACCCTGGGGCAGAACCCGCTACGTGCGTCCCTATCTGTTGCGCATGGAACACCTGACGATGACGTTATTCGTGCCCCTCTCCACAGTGTGTTCCGGGGTAGGGCCTGCTCACTGGCCCAGCGTCCGGCTCCTGGAACGGGCCCCCGACAGTCCATGCCCCACAAATGCTGAGGGGGCATTTACAGCCACCGTGATGTGGGCACAGAGTCAATCCTGGATTCCAGTCCTGGTCTTGCCACTCACGGTCTTGGTGGGAACCCTCTCCGTGCCTCGGTTTCCTCATCTGTACGTGCGGGGTAACAGCACGCCTCCCCGACACAGCGCTGTGAGCAAGGGGGTCGCTGTGTGTGTGATGAGCGCGGGCGGGCACCGGCCACCCATGAGGGCTGCACACTCATTGACCCGGCCTGGGTGGACAGGTACTGGGCGGGTCTTACAGCCGCCATCCATCCATCCATCCATTCATTCATTCATTCATTCATTCCCTGAATGCCCGCTAGGTGTTTGCTGTGAGCCAGGCACGGGGCTGGGCACAGGGGCTGGCTCTCAGATGACTCAGAAGGGAGGGGGGATCAGGAGATGGGCAGGTAAGTAGCACTCCTGGGATTTACTCCAGGCTGATGGGAAGGCTCAGGGGTGCAGGGGACCGCCCGGGGGTGGGGCAGAGGAGGGCTGAGTCTGTAGAGAAGGGCAGGTGGGCGCCTCCTGGGATAAAGCACAGGGCGCACTCAGACACGCTCCTTCCATTAATGATCACAACAGACAACCACCGGGACAGGACCTGTGCTGGCAGCCGGGGACACGGAGCCACAGCCCCAGCCTCACACCCAGGCGGCCAGACCTTCCCAATCCGAAGAGCACGTGGAAACCCTGCGCGGGAAAGAGCCTCTTCGCCGCAGTGAACGCTGGCGAGCTCCTCTGAGGCAGGGGCTGGGGAGCGAAGGGCCATGAGAATCATCGTTAAAATCCTCTCTTTATTCAGGAGGCGGCTTACATTTACAAGCTGGTTATGAAAACATTAACAACACACAGCAACATTTCCGGTTCTGGGGAGGAACTGGTACTGGAGGGCGGCTAGTTATAGGAACACGTTTTCTGTAAAACCTCAGGGAGTAGAGACAAGGTGGTAAGCCTGTGATTGGGGAAGGAGGGCGGGGCGCGGGGAGAGGGTCAGAAATGAGAGACGTGGGTTTGCCCAGAGGCGGCCAGGCACCCCCATTCCGCCCCTTCGAGGCTCTCCCACCCACCCTGCTTCGGGAGGCCTTGGCGGAGGCCAGGTCCCGTGGGTCGCTGTTAGGTGGAGGGAGGGACAGGCTCAGCCCCACCCACCCCCTGGCGGGGTTCCCTGCACCCAGGCTGAGACCGGCTGAACTCCAGGCGGCTGCTTTACTCTGAAGAGCTCACACTCATTTAATGACTCACAAGAGGGCCAGAGGGGACCTTAGGGAAATACCACAGTTTTGGGATCAGAGACAGGACGGCCTCCTGCGGGTTTCCCAGCCCTGGCACCAGGGGCGTGGGGGCCAGAGAATTCGTGGGACTGGTCAGCTGTGTCGCCGGCGCCTGCCCACTGGATCCCAGCAGACCCGCCTCCGCGCCTGCAGGCTGTGCAAACCGGAATGCCTGCAGACCTGGCCCCGGCGCCCCGGGGGACAGTGTCCCCGGTGGAGCAGCACTCGCCCGCCCGGCAGTTCAGAAACGATGTGGCTGGATGCCCTGGGCTCCACACCCAGGTCTCCTGCCGGCCCGCCCGGCCCGCCCACCTCCCAGTCCTCCCGGAGACCCGTGTCCTCGAGAGCAGAGGGTGGGAGGCTCCGCGCCAGGTTCCTGGGCCCTGGTCAGGCCTCTGGGTCGTGGGGACAGCGCGTGACTCTCGTGTTGCGGGGAAGACGGCTAAGGAGACAGACGCTGGTCCCGGGGTGCCGCTCAGGCACACGGAGGGGCTCGGTGAGGGAAGGGATGGCGGTCGGGGCAGGAGCAAGTTCAGGCTGGCGCCGCACTCAGGGCCTCCCGGGCACCGCCACGGTGCAGCCCGTCCCAGGCTCCCTCTGCCTTTATTAGG